GCGCCGGCGGGCGCGGGTCCCGCGGGGTGGGGGGGGAGGGGTTGCCGGCATGACGTCACGCCTCCTGTGACGTCACTGCCCTGACGCGGGGTCTGCTGTGACGTGGGGGTTGCCTTGGGGCAGGGGTTGAGCACAGACCGTGGGGCAGGGGCCTGAGCCCATCCCAGCCCCACCGGGCCCAAAGCCACTGAGCTTCATTGCAGGGGGGGCGGCTCCAGCCTGAGCCCTTCTGCCCGGGGCTGAACCCGAAGCCTGAGGCCTCGGCCCAGACCCAGCCGCGCTCAGTGCAGCCCGCGGAAGGGGTCGTGAGCCTCAGTTCGGGAACCGCCGCCCTCGAGGTCTGCGGCGGGCAGGCAGGAGTCGGTCGAGGGGCGCCCTCTGGCGGGGGCCCTGCAGGGGGTAGGTCTAGAATGGGGATCCCAGCCCGACCCGTTCCCCTCAGGCTCTGGATCCGGAGACTCCACGGTCCGCCATAAGGATGGCGCTTCAGCATCGTGGCGTCACAGCGGGCTGTAAATAGCCTGGCCGTGTCTGTTCTGTGAGGGTACCCTTGGCACTTTGGGATGCCCTGGCCATGATGTTTTGATTTGAGGATTTTTTTTTTTCATTCTTATCATGTTTTAAAATGTCATTGTAGCCATTGACGTGCTTTTAAAACCGAGGGAAAGTTGTGGCAGCTACAACATTTGTTTTAAATTGTGATCATTTAAAAAAAATTGTGAAATATATATTTTATATAGTTGTGACGAGTGACATCGGTACCAAGTTAGCGTACAGTCTCTAGAGTAGTTTCTCTTACACCTGCAATTGGCCTGCTATAATGGTTAAGTTGTAGGCGTCATGCCTGTAAATGTATCTGTACAAACAGGCTCATGTCATCCTGTATAATAGGGAGGAATAGTTCAGTGGTTTGAGCATTGGCCTGCTAAGTCCAGTGTTGTGAGTTCAATCCCTTGAGGGGGCCATTTAGGGAACTGGGACAAATCTGTCAGGGATGGTACTTGGGCCTTTCATCTGGGTAGGGGACTGGATTCGATGACCTTTCAAGGTCCCTTCTAGTTCTATGAGATAGGTATATCTCAATATATTATCCCCATCAGGAGTGCTTCATGGGGATGTAAGGGTCTACCCGCATAAATCTGCATGTTGAACTGAAGTCTTAATCTTTGATTCAGGAAAGCAACTAAACTCATGCTTAAAGTTGAGCATAGCTGTAATTGTTTCCCTGTATTGAGATGAATTTAAGAATGTATTGAAGGGTTTTTCTGAAACAGGGCTTTACTACCGCAGGTCTAATTCTAAGCACATCGAAATCAGCAGGTCACTGATCAGCATTTTAGACTTCAAATTGTGCGTAATAATGCATCTGTGCTGCATTCATATGAGAAGTCACATTGATTTCAGTAGGACTACTCACATGAGTAGAATTAAACAAATTTATAAATATATGCAGGTCTGGGGCTTTAGAGTTTACTTAAAGTCTGTTTAAAATCCCATGTACTGCAGAGCTATGGGGTCCAACCAGCAAACTAGCCATACTCAACCAGCCAAATAGCCACATTGGCCAGTTTCATGTGGCTAGTTGGCTTGAACAAATAGCCACATGTGGCTGGTAACTAGCGGGTTGGACACCATGGCTATAGAGTCTAATATATTATCACATTTATCATGTGGGAAAAAATTCTATTGTCATACAGTAATTCCAACTTTATTTTTTTTCAAATGTGTATTATAATGAATTGACAGGCTACACAAAGATGAAAATATTCTTTCTGAATATATCTAGTCATGAAAAATAGTTTTATAATTTAAGTGAGGATGAATTATTTATTGTTGTAGATGATTCTAGAAGGTTCTTTGAAGATAGGAAAATTCAGAATTCAGGGCTACAGTCTGATACTTTTAATGCTGGTTGTTATGGAGTTCACATGTTTTAAAACTGATCCACACACCAATCATTTGCCAGAATCACCAATTAATAAGGACACTATAAGGCAGGGATGGGCAATAAGCGGTCCACAGAGTGGACCCATTTCGCCAGGATTAGCCCCTGGTGGGTCACCAGACTCTTTATTTACCTTTATTTTATTCACAGTTATGGCCGCTTGCACCTCCTGTTAGCCACAGATTGCCATCACGGACAATGGGAGCTATGGCAAGTATCACAGACCGGGACATCGTTTCCCACGGCTCCTGTTGTCTGGGAACAATGATCCATGGCCAACGGGAGCTGCAAGCAGACGTACCTGCAGATACGCAGGTAAATAAAGCATGCGGTGGCTCGTCAGTGGCTAATCCTGGCGAACTGCATCCAGTCCGTGGGCCGCATGTTTGGGAAGTTTATCTTGTTTTTTTTATTCCATTTTATCTAAGCATATGAAATTGTTACATCCAATGATGTAGAGCTATGTAACTTATTATATCTCCAGTCCCATTCTTATAGTGACTTATGCATGTATGTAACTAAGTTCTAAGAGTAGTCTCATTGACAATTAAAGCTAAACACATGTGACTTTCACAGGATGATAGCCAAAGCCTTGAGTCATAACTGTATGCATCCTCCTAAATATTTGTCCTTCCACAACTCTTTGTTATTAAGTGTGGCTCAGTAATAGTTAAAGATGTTGCGCTTCAGTTCAGGTTCAGACATAAACAATTCCACTTACTACTGTGCATGCTTTCTCTTGCCTTGGGTTTAATATATTCTTGAAGAATTTGGGGTGATTGCACTTTCCATGTTTTATCCTCTTTTTGATTATTTTATCAGCTTTAGCAGCTGTTTTTCATAAATGTGATGGTTGAATAATATGGATTTAGTAAATCATTCTCTTCCAGCAGTTGACAATAAAAGATCATTGTCTGCTTAACAATAATGGGCTTACAAAAAAGGAAATGTGACAAACAATTTATAATAAATCAGACTTTGAAGAATTTTATAGTGAAATTCAATGATCCATCACTCCTGATGTTTTATACATTATGCAGATTTGTTGCATGTATAGGGGTGAGCATATGCAATTACTGAAGATAATTATCTCACTCTTCTGAGGAAAAATATTGCTAGATATTTCCGGAGTTGAAATAATTGAGTTAGGTTCCTAACGTCAGTTTAGAAATAGAGTGGAAAAAGCTTGAAAATCTAATAACTTACACTTAATCATTCAAAATGGGGAAAAATATCACAAGAAAACCATTGAAGATACTGGAATTATTTCCACTGAATCTAAAACATCATTAGTCAGGAGATTACAGTGATTCAATATAATAAACTACTTTTTGTGTCTGATTTAGTAAGGAAGATAAAGATTTGTGTTCACTGCTGAGTTAACCTGAGTTATAACCTATGTGTTGTCCTTCACTCAAATCTCAGCCACATAAAACCACTAATCCAAGGGTGCTAGTGCTTGTAGCGAGGGTAAAGCTCAAGTTAGCACAACTCATCAGCTGCTGACACAACCTCTCTCTGCAGCTCCAATGTCATTTCAGAGTGACAGGTCTCACGCGAGCTAGGCTAACTTAAGAGGAGGTAACTCTGGAGTGAAGATATGGCCTAAATCTGTTATCTGGACATATCGTACAGATTGCAGAAATGCATTTTAATGTTGCATTAGGATTATCATTTCAGGCTTTGATCTGTCAGGTATTAGGGTGTCGACCTGCACATGCATCTGTATGGTTGGGACCTAAAACCCTCAGAATATAAGGAAATGTAGAACTTGGTAGTCATTTAGTATAATTGCAACATGTTCCCATTGCCCCTCACTCAGCAGTGAAACATTAATCAGTCCACAGCTTCTGCTGTGTATTTCCAGTGTCATAGTCAAGCACTTAGTCAGTTTTGTAATGAAACATAGAAATAGCAGCTCCAAAACCAAAACCACACATAAGGAGTTCAAATTGTATTTGCATTTGTGTTTATTTTGTGATTCTATAGTCACATAATATGCACTGAAAACTTAATGGGAATATTTTATACTATTCTTGTTCCATCATACACCTAGAATCATAGAGCTGGTAGAGACCTCAGGAGGTCATCATGTCCAGTCCCCTGCCTAAGGCAGGACCAATCCCAACTAAATCAACCCAGTCAGGGCCCTGTCAAGCCGAGACTTAAAAACCTCTAGGGATGGAGATTCCACCACCTCCCTAGGTAACTCATCCCAGTGCTTCACCACCCTCCTAGTGAAATAGTTTTTCCTAATATCCAACCTAGACCTCTCCAACTGTAACTTGAGACCATTGCTCCTTGTTCTGTCATCCTTCACCACTGTGACCAGCCTTTCTCCATCTTCTTTGGAACCTCCCTTCAGGAAGTTGAAGGCTGCTATCAAATCCCCCTTCACTCTTCTCTTCTGCAGATTAAACAGACTCAACTCCCTCAATCTCTCCTCATAGGTCATGCGCTCCAGCCCCCTAATCATTTTGGTCGCCCTCCGCTGGACCCTCTGCAATGCATCTACATCCTTTCTATAGTGGGGGGCCCAGAACTGGACACAATACTCCAAATGTGGCCTCACCAGAGCCGAATAAAGGAGAATAATCACTTCTTTGGATCTGCTGGCAGTGTTCCTCCTAATGCACCCTACTATGCCATTTGCCTTCTTGGCTACAAGGGCACACTGTTGACTCATATCCAGCTTCTCATCCGCTGTAATCCCCAGGTCCTTTTCTGCAGAACTGCTCCTTAGCCAGCCGGTCCCCAGCCTGTAACAATGCTTGAGATTCTTCCATCCCAAGTGCAGGACTCTACACTTGTCCTTGTTGAACCTCATCAGATTTATTTTGGCCCAGTCCTCTAATCTGCCTAGGTCACTCTGGACCCTACCCCTGCCCTCCAGTGTATCTACCTCTCCCCCTAGCTTAGTGTCATCTGCAAACTTGGTGAGGGTGCAGTCACTGACATTAGTGATGCAGAATCTGGCCTACAGTGTGTAAAGATAAACACATGTAAGTTAGTGCAAGACCAGGGCCCTAGTTACTATTTCTCTGAAAGGAGGGCATAGCATGCGTAGAGTGTGGCTATTTTTAATTATACCTGTGTAGAAAACAAATGGAAATCTTTTGTTCCTAACTCAACATGTGGGTTGGTGCGGCTTTGGTTTTCTGCCATGGATCCCAGTGGATCTAATGTGATCCTGCTTGATGGACCCTGTGAAACCTCCTCACAGCCTCCCTCCCCTCCCAGGGGACCCTCAATTTCCTTGTTGAGAACTGCTGTGTTAAAGTCTTATGAACAGTGTTATTTAGTAATGTCGGGATAATGAGAGAAATGTATCAAGTGCCTGCTACATTATTTATAAAAATATATATCTGTGAATCACTTAATCCTTTGTGCTGTCCTAGTTATGAAAGACAACTATTGGCATTTGTTATTGGTAGAAGATCAGATGATAAAGATAAAGACTGAAGTCAGATATTCAACAGAGTGAAGTAAGATATTCATCCTAGGGATGTTAGCGTATACCTGGGCTCATTGGTTAATCCTAACAGTTACACGCACCCCTGCCTGTATCAGCGTTAGCAGGGGAGAGTGGGAGCCAGTGCCTGAGAGGAGCTGGCTTTTAAGCTTGTTCCTCGTGTGTGCCAGCTCCCACGGAGCTTCCCCCTCACCCTCTCGCCTGCTGTCTCCCACAGAGGCAGCAGCGTGGGGAGGCCGGCAGAATCCGGCTCCTCATGAGCATTGGCTCCCATTGAGCCGTCTGTCCTCCTGCCCCCATGCTGCTGCCTCTGATAGAGCCAGCAGTGCCCAGGGTGGGGGCAGCAGACGGGAGCTGGTACACGCGGGGAGCCAGCTTCCATGGAACCACCTGCCCCCCTTGCTGCTGCCTCACCGCAAGAACCGGCTCCTGCCTGCCCCCTTGCGTGTAAATGTGTAACCACTAAAAAATCCAGCGGTTACACATTTACACAAGAAGCGGGTTGTGCCCATGAAAGCATCTATGTTTTTTGTTAGTCTCTAAGGTGCTGCAGAACTATTTGTGGTTTTTTTTAAAAATTTCAGTTACAGATTAACACAGCTACCCCTCTGAGACACATTCGTTTAACATCCCTAATTTGTCTTAGTTTGTGCTCTTCCCTTCAGAAATTTGTTTTCATTGCCGTGGAACAGTCTGGAAGGAAGTATGAGTCCAAGAAACACGTACTCGATCATGTCAGGTTTCATGAAAATTATATACAAATGTGAACCTTTCTCATGCCAACTCATTCTTCAAGTTCAGTGTATTTACTGAAATGTTTTGCTTCTTGGTTGTGGGGAAAATAACTGATATATACCAGAAGCATTGCTATTGGTTTCTTATTCTAATGCCATCCATTATTTTGCACACATCTTCATTTTAAAAATTGTGGGTCTTCTCCTTAGTCAAAATACCCCCTGACATTAGTAAGAGATGCAGAGCAGAATTTGGCACTCGTGGCTTTTAAAGCACTTCAGAGATGAAAAACATACTGTAAGTGCTAAATAGTAGTAGTGGTTAGCAGTATTTTCAGCAACAGATTTCAGTAAAAATGTGGAGTCTGATAAAGTGGCAGCAAGAAAAGTTGTCATGAGGAAGACTATCTGGACATTAAGGGCCAGATTTCAGAAGTGCTCTTCCATTTTGTGCCTACAAATAATTGCAGATACAGTTTAAGGGTTCGTTTTATAGTACTTAGGGAGCTAACTACCAATTGTACCTGAAAATCAGGTAATTAGTTGTCTGAGTGCTGTAAAATGCACCCACAGTTATCTGTAGCTACAGAGCAAGAGGCTGAGTGGATACTTTTGGAAAATCAGGATGTGAAACTACTATTTTTTAAAAAATTACATTTTCATCCTTCCTTTCCCCCTGTTGTGAAAACTGTTTTTCTGTGTCTGCCATATTCCCAATCCACATTTTGGTCCCAGTGGGAGCTACACATTTCCATTAGGTTGACTATTTTGGCCCTTTTCTTACATTCTTTTTGCCCATGTCTCGCCTTGCTGAGATGTGTTGTTTTGGATGGGAGGACAAGCATACATCTAAACTTTAAGTGACGGGAGTAGTGATCATGCTAAAACCTTCTTGCCCTTACCCCGCTGGCATGCCCTGAGCTCATCTCTGATGTCAAACCTCTCAGCTAACGGTTTAAATTAGTTTAGTCTGAAATCTGTTTACTGGAAATGAGATTTGAAAACCACATAAGCTTGGTATTATAACAAACCTAATTCTCTCTTCTTTTTTTTTTTCTAGTTGGATTTTCCATTTCTGCTGTTGATGTCAATGATCTTGATTCCGATATTTCCAAGAAAAACTTGATCTTTGAACAAATCAAGACCCTCACTGATCTCAGTTTAATGCAAATACCTGGATACTACGCATCCTGTTCCTTACTCCATGTTTAAATGAAAAAAACATTTTCTCTAGTCTTCCATGAAGCTCAGTTGTTGCCTGTTAACTTTGATTATTACTGCTGTTCTGCCTGCTGCTTTTGCACTGGAAAATGTAGCTTCTAACAGGACAATTACACCTGGGTCAAGATCCGTTTCTCCAAATGCTTCACTTCATCCAGTCTTCCGAGTCATGGCAAATTCTCCAGCACATCATGATATCATAGCAAAGGAAGGGAGCAGTGTGTTAATTGAATGTAAACTGAACCTCAGCCGGTATGAATTTATCCTTTGGTACAATTCAAAAGCACAGCTGCTCAAGCAAAGAGATGAAGGTAAGCTCTGCTGCTGTCTTAGGCAGTGTCTGAACACCTCACCAGTTTTCACATATTTTTCTTCATAACTCTCATGAGATGTTTATCCCTATTTTACACATGGGGACCTGAGCAAAGAGGCAAAGTGATTTGCCCAAGGTCACCCAGGAAATCTGCAGCAGAGCAGGGAATTGAATCTACATCCCAGGCTAACTAGGAAAAACTATTTTCCTAGGAGGGTGGTGAAGTATTGGAATGGGTTACCTAGTGAAGGGGTGGAATCTCCATCCCTAGAGGTTTTTAAGTTTGGGCATGACAAAGCCCTGGCTGGGATGATTTAGGGATTGGTCCTGCTTTGGACAGGGAGCTGGACTTGATAACCTCCTGAGGTCTCTTCCAGCCCTAGGATTCTATTATTCTAATGCCTTAACCGCTGGCCCATTCTTTCTGCTGTGCTGCATAATTTCATACAGCTGACCTGTTTTGCTTCATAGGTACATAATAAATATCGTATCAGCTACATAACTGATTTTTCATTTTTGTCTTGCTCTTTACATGTTAGGGGCATGAATTAAAAAATAATTTCTCTCAAATTGTGACCTTTTCTAGCTGGCAAACAGTAATCTTTCTTTTTGGCCTTTCTAAAGGAGAGGTGATTTGATTACATTTATTTCCTGGTTTAGGTACCAGCAACTTCATGGAAATCAACAGGAAGTTTACCGCCTTGAATATTTTAAATAGAGAGGCGGGATAAAATATTTTAAATAAATAAATACATTAATTAATTATAACTTTTATCTGCTCAGGGAATGGTTTTACAAATTAACCATCGCTACAGAGGAAGATGTACTTTCTTAGCCATTAAGTGTTTAATTTTTTTAAATAATACTCTTTACTGAATCTGGAGAACATTATTCAATAGAGAACAAGTTTTAAGTTAGGTCAAATTGTAAACTGAGCTACCTGACAGTATCCTGTTAATGCGGTGCATATTAATTTGGGGTATTATCCAGCTTATGTGCAACTAAAATAATCTTTGGATGTCATCTGGAAATTAATTGAAAGCAGAGTATATGAAGAGAATGAATTATGAAAGCAAATGTTTTTTCCCTAATATAGTAAATGTAGAAAATAGCCTATGAAGCCAGCATTCTTCTTCTTATTTGTTTGTTTGTTTTACAAGAGTTCTGTCACTCAGTAGAAGAGGCACAGTTGTGTAGTGCTTAAAGCAAAAGAGACTGTCTCCAGGGATATCCTGGGTTTTAATGCCAGCTGAATCACTTAGATGTGTCTACTCTACACACTCCACCTGGACTGTGATTCGGGTTTCGAGTCCAACCCCCTCTCCCGTCCAGATGCGATTCAGTCTGACGCTGGTCAGCAAGCTGTCAGGTGCTACAACCTTGCTGGAGATGTGGGGAGGGGAGAGGAATCAGAGTCAAGTATGAGTGCCACTGTGACTTAGATTCCAGGCCTGTCATTTTGCAGTGTGAATGCAGATCAAGTCAGAAGGTCTGTGCAGTGTGGTATGGAGACGTTAGTATGTCTTGAGACACGGGTCAGTAGTCGTTAATCCAGGATTATAATGCAGTGTGAACGCTCAAGCCTGGGCTTGGAAACAGAGTCCCGTGACTCTTTCCATGGGTCACTTAACTTTTGTCTTAGTCAACCCGCATGGAAAATTGGACCTTGTAGTTATATAGAGCAGCAAACAAACACAGCACTGTACAGTGGGTAAAAAGTGCTGAACTTATCCTGGGATCCATGCCCCAAGGAACTAGCTATTTAAAGACACAGCCTATGTTTCATTACTGTACTTGTTTCTGTTGGATCTTTAGGTGGAAGATGGTTGATCACTGACCATATCCTTAACATTACCGATGTAAGGTTTGGTGACCGTGGACGGTACACCTGTGCAGCCACTAATCATAATGGCACCTCCTACTACACAGTCACCCTGAGGGTTATCTTCACATCGGGGGATATGAGCATCTACTACATGATTGTGTGTCTGGTTGCTTTTACGATCATCCTCATTTTAAACATAACCCGTCTGTGTATGATGAGTAGTCACCTCCGCAAGACAGAGAAGGCCATCAATGAGTTCTTCAGGACAGAAGGTGCTGAGAAGCTTCAGAAGGCCTTTGAGATCGCCAAGCGCATCCCTATCATCACCTCTGCCAAAACCTTGGAGCTGGCCAAAGTCACCCAGTTTAAAACCATGGAATTTGCTCGATACATTGAAGAACTTGCTAGAAGCATTCCCCTCCCACCTCTAATCCTTAACTGTAGGGCATTCATGGAGGAGATCTTTGAAGCAGTGCGAGTTGATGATCCAGATGAAGTTGGCGAGGAAACCAAACAGACCCAAGCTCTTACTACCCAAGATGCAATCTACCCCATCAATCCAGAGCTCAAGCGCAGTAATTCACCAGCAGGAGACTCGGATGATGGCTCTGTGAATGAGCAGGGTCAAGAAATAGCAGTCCAAGTATCAGTCCACCTTCAGTCAGAAATACAAAGCATTGGCACTGTTTCCCATGACAGCTGCAATTCTGTACCTTCCGAAGAAGAGGTTTGCTGAATCCTGCTAGGTGGAATTATTGCAGCTGCATCTGATTTCTGTAGGCCATCAAGAGAAAAGGAACTAGGCCCTTGAGCGATAATCAAATGTGCACAAGAAATAATGCTTTTTTTCCAGAATATGAGGTGTCAAAACTATTCTCTGTGATCAGTGTATTTCCTCATTTGTGTTTTTCGGTGTTGATCTGCAGATTTAAAGCCTGCTTAGATGAGGCCATTTGGAATACTCTTTTGCAATAGTTTTGTTAAGCAAACATACTCAACTGGAAACATTTCACAAAGGGGATGATTCACACTCAACTTCTTGGTTGCCTCAGTTACTGTTTCAGAGGTGGCTAAATTAAGCTAAACACCTGCCATAGAATTCTTTCCTTTGTGAACTGTTTCTTCATATACACTCAGAAATCTAAATTATTTCTTATTCAAATGTGCTTGCATTATTATGATGATGACGATTTGAGACGTGCGCTTTTTGAATTGCTTCTTGATGTGTGCAGCCCATCAGACCTGTAGGCTTTGTCTGCTTTGTGTATTTTGCTCTGTGTTGCCCTCAAAACATACTTTAGTTAGAGTAAGGAATAGTGCCAGACCGTGCATCTAGATTACGTTAATTCCCAGCATTTCAAAGCAGTTTATGGACTAATCAGAGCTCTCAAATTTTGCAAAAACTTACCAAAATGCTGTTGTAAAATATGGAAAATTACATCTTGATTTTGACGTAATCAACACCATAGTTAAATGACCGATATTGCCAGTTGCCTTACCCTGTTTGGTTTACATGGCTAGACAGGAAAGCAGCACAGCTGGTCTTATTTGTTCCTGGACTTGATTGACTTTACTCACTGCAGAAAATCCAAACAATTATTTTACATTGCCATTAGCAAGAGATGACTAGTTGGTAGTTGTTTTTCCTAAAATAAATCTACAGGTCAAATGTCTCAGGCCATTGTTTCTAAACAATATTAACAAGAAAAGAGATGGGGGCTTCAGGCCAGATTCTCAGCTGTGGCTAGTGTGCAGCAAGGGAAGGAAGCCACAAAGGAACTAGTTATGGCTCCCAGGTTGTGCTGTTTGCCAGAGATTACTGGAATGCGGTAATTCTCTGGCCATGCCTCCTTCCATTTCCAGCAAGACCCATGGTGAGAGCTGCAAGGAGGTATAGTACGAGAGCTGACTATACTTGCCCTGCGCTAGTTAGGGACTCTCCCATGCGAGAAGATGCCTCAGCGGAAGAGACCCAGTTCTAGGAACTGGAATATAGAAGAGACTCTGACCCCTACTTTCACTCTTTGGTGCTGATCTTTTCCTTTTTTTGTTTGTTTTCTATTTTACATTTATAGCGTATCACTTAAATAGTATTTTATTTCGAGGTGAGATTTAAATCTATGTAAGGCTTGTAAGCACTCCACAAATTAATTTCTTACACCTGCTGGAAGCATAGTGCCACAGAATAGTAACAGCTTGGCCACAACAGCACTGTTTAGCTTCCCGCATCTCTTTCTTTGCTTCCTCATTTTGAAAGGTGACTTGAACGAGTGGTTTCTGGAAGGAACATTTAAGATTCTTAAGAGGTTTTAAGGTTATGTTTACAGGAGTGGAAGTGGATGACACACGGGCATAGAAGAGCCATTCTACAAAGCAGGGTCATCTACGGTAAGACGTCCTTGTATCAAATAGAGTGACTGAATCATATTTATGTGACAGTATTAGGCAACTAGAAGCTGAAACATTTTTAAGTTCTTTGCTTAGTAGCTTTAGAAGCCAATCACAAGCAGTGCAGGTCTAGCAGACCTTGTCTTGGCTGAGAGGCCTTTGTTTATTGGGACCGTAGGAGTTTCTGACTGGATCAGCCCGGTCATCCATCTGCTCCAGTCTCCTGTTTCTGACACTGGGCTGTGCTTCAGAAGAATAGGTCCTGCAATAGGTATTTCTAGAATAAGCTGCACTTAGTGATAGATTCTTCCTCACCCTTCTATAACTAGAGGTTGGTTTATGCCCCTCTTCGTTTTACAGGTTTATATTCCTTCCTCAGCCCTTTATTTATTTTTTAACAGTCCTGGTTGTAACTCTGGTTGTTCCTGTTATTCAGCTAAATGGCCAATCCTTTGGAATCCTGCGAAGCTGCTGGCCTCTGGCTAAGTCTGCATCCTGGGGGAGACAATTTCCTTGGGTCGAGTTTGAATGTCATAGCTCAAAGATGTTCAGGCCGGAAGGAATGGCCGTGTGATCTTTCTTTAAGCATCCCCCAGGCCATAGGTTTCCACATCACCCTGCCTGTCTTTCAGAGAAGCTAGATGTACCCCTCTGTCAAACTGTCACCCTCCAGACGGTGGCAGCATCCTTGCTGTTTTTGTCCCCGTGTTGTAAATGCAGTTTGGAGACACAACCGTAAAATCAGGGCTCCTTTTAAATACTTCCAAACCAGCAGATGTGCAATAATGATTGACAGATGTCTCCTCAAAAATGGCAGCTTGCATGCAACAAAATGACACTGAAGCCATGTGAGATCAATGTAAGAGAACAGCTCCCTCGTTAACCGAATCTGTTCTTTCATTTGTATAGTTCATGTAGGTAACACAGTGTTCTTGCTGAATCACGTCTGTGTGTGTCTGTTTCATTTGGTGTCTGAGTAGCAGAGAGAAAGGACTTGTTCCACAAGGCCAGAAAATGCAGAAATGATGACCAAAAAAAAATACAAAATGAAGTGGTCAATTTGTAATAGTGACAAGTCATTTCACTTCTGGAAGGAGGCTGCTTTGTAGTTTTTTCTGTACATAAGTAGCATTTATGACATGCATGTCCCACGCTTATTTCCACTGAACTTAATCAGAGCAGGGTTGGAACCCTAATATGATATTCATGAGTGCTGTGACACTGGAAGCAGGATAACACTGATGTGTAGAACCCATAATTTCCAAATAACAACCCCCTGACATGGTAGTTTCCAAACAGGCTGGTGACTTATTGCAAACATGGGGAGTATCTGCTGTTGCTTGAAAAAAAAATTTTTTATACATCTAATGTTTATTTTGAAGATTACTCAAACAAGTTGGAGGAGGGGGGGAGTGTTAAACTCCTTGTAAACCATACAGGTTTTTTCATGTCTTAAACTAACATCTCTGACAATCACAAGGCTGTTTTATCTTCCTAACCTCATTTTTTTGTACTGTAAATTGTACTTGTTAGGCAAGATCGTATCTAAAAGTAACGTCCTGGTTATTTGTATTCTATTGTAATGTGACTGTGTTATGTAACAACATATGGTTCACACTTTCATAAAATTACTTGGTAGATTGGCAGAATAAATTTAGCAAAATTTTATGCATTTTATGATCTATTTAAATTCTCTTGCATCGGAAGGGGGGAACCGTGGCTCTTTATAAAGAGTTAATAAACAGCTGTCTTCAGCTAATGCCAGCAAAGCTGTTAGGCAAACTGGTAAAGGTTGCCTGTCTATCTGATTATATGCAAGACAATTTGTGACATAACATCTTTGATTTGTCATTTGATAATGTCCTAGAGTCCCCATGACCATCTGTAACAATTCTTACCAGCTGCGTAAACAGATGGCTACAGAACAGCCGCCCTGAAATTATTTCAATAAGGTCTTTGGTTTCTTTATTGCTTCTTACAGCAAGCTAAAACAGTGGTTACAAATTACAGTCGTTGCCTCCTCAAACCTATATTTGCTGTTCCACACCCATAGAGACAATTGTTCTGTTCTGTATTTATTCTAATCTTCTTAGATTTTGGGAGGCTTTTTCCTGGGGTTTGACACAGCTTCCCTGCCACAGAAGGAGACACGTAACTAATACAACACAAATCTACAGCTGGAGTAATTAAAACTTCAAGGGACAGATTCTGCCTCGCTATGCCAGTGAGGAGTAGGGAGGCATAAAAAGCTCACACAGGGCCTGGCATACTCCCAGCTCTTGCACTCAGAGAAGTGCATGGGCTGCTTCCTCCCTACATTTGAGACACAGCAAAAACGGGACCGTGACTCCGCCCTCCCTATTTGCAGGCCATTGTGGCACGTGGGAAGTTGTCTGCATCCATAAAGTGGTGTAGCAGCGCGCACACAATTTCTGCAGGGCCTGAAGTTTTGGGTGTTGCCTGTAGGCTAGTGTAGCGTGAATGGAACTGTCCAGCACTGAGAAGCGCGGTCAGATCTATCCTCAACGTTTTATGCAATCTGTAGAGCATCTGTCACTGCTGGACACTGGAGCAGCTTTATTAAAGCAGTATTTGACCGTCTGTTTTGATCAGTGTTCTAAAAGTGAGGTTCCAGTTGTCAATGTCTATGTATGTAGAACAGTGGAATTCAATCGTAATCCTTTCCCACCTGCAGTGTGGATTTTACTGGGTGGATCTGGCATCTGAATGTATATCAAATCCACACAAATTAGGTCTTAGGTCAGTGTTCAGTCAATAACTTACTTCTAGCCCTGTATGTGTCTATCTATTAGAAACAAATTCCTTGAACACGGTAACAAGAGGGAATTGAAAATGAAAGAGCGTTTCACAGTAGTCCATTTACTTCCATTAAACTATGGTAGGTGACACCACCGAGAATCTGCCCTTGATTCGCTGCTGTGACATGGCCCCTTGCTCCCACACATCACAACAAAGTCTTCATTTATGCTCAAAAACAATATCACTGTTTGGTTCGTGCCAGATATTTGCAATGTCAAGAAAAAGTCTGCTCTATCAAAGTGGATTAATGTCAGGAGATGCCCGCGCTTTGCGGAGTCTAGTCTGACGATGATTATCATAACACTGAGCAATGATGCTTCCCTTTTCAAAACCCTGTGCAAACAACTAATTAGTTTCATGAAAATGCGTAGGCTTATGTTTATCTCAAGATACTAACATTTATTTATTTTATGGACTAAAAATTCTCTGGTGTTCCAAATTCCAGCCACGTACTTGAGCACGAATGCTTGCCCTGGGACACTTACGTCAGCAGATAGAGATGTAGATTATATGTGTGTCCGTCCATCTGCCTACAGGTTCCAGACGGGATCCGAGCTGGCGGCTGGCTGCCTTTTCAAGGGGTAGGAATGAATTTTTCACTCGTGTTGGTATGGGTATTATCTGCTGTCAAGGATGTGGAAGCAGAATGGATACTTTCTCCGGGAGATCAGTTTGCTTCAGCAGCAGATGTTCACAGCAACTGGTATACTGTATTGTAGTAGCACTTAGAGGCCGGGACAGCATTGTGTGAGGCAGCTCTCACACGTCACAAATCAAGTACAGCATTAAACTGGAATCCAAGGATAGATGTGTCCATCAAAGCCAACATTTCTGCTCTTCATAGTGGGCCTCTGTCTACCAATTTGATTTTTTTATATGCTAGAGCCTGGTCTGCACAATAGCTACCATAATGTTAAATAATTAAATTAAGTATTAATTAAATATTATGAGACTGGGACTTTTCAGCTTGGAAAAGAGGAGACTAAGGGGGGATATGATAGAGGTCTATAAAATCATGAGTGGTGTGGAGAAAGTGAATAAGGAAAAGTTATTTACTTGTTTCCATAATATAAGAACTAGGGGCCACCAAATGAAACTAATGGACAGCAGGTTTAAAACAAATAAAAGGAAGTTCCTCTTCACACAGCGCATAGTCAATCTGTGGAACTCCTTGTCTAAGGAGGTTGTGAAAGCTAGGACTATAACAGGGTTTAAATGAGAACTAGATAAATTCATGGAGGTTAAGTTCATAAATGGCTATTAGCCAGTATGGGTAAGGAATGGTGTCCCTAGCCTCTGTTTGTCAGAGGGTGAAGATGGATTGCAGGAGAGAGATCACTTGATCATTACCTGTTCAGTTCACTCCCTCTGGAGCACCTGGCATTGGCCACTGTCAGCAGAGAAGGTACTGGGCTGGATGGACCTTTGGTCTGACCCAGTATGGCTATTCTTAGGTTCTTAATATACACACATCAGCCATGCCTGTGAAATCCAGCCTGTCAGACAGCCATTAAAGTGGGATCAAATGGGGGTGATTTAGTCTCACTTTTGAAACCATTTTCACACTTTGGGCCTGATGTTTAAACAAGTTAGCCTCATGTATATCAGGCCAGACTCTCTGGTTCTACAAGGATGCTTCATGACACATGATCTGGCCTTAGAACAGCCAGAAATAGCTGGGGGGAAGCTCTCCTTGTTCTGCTGTGTCTGATCCTCCTCTTATGTAAGCTCTGTTATGGACTTTATACCGGCAAGGAAAGTCAAAATAGGCTTTCTGCTACTTGAACTGACCAGAGAGTAAGTTAGCTGAAACTAGCAGCTATGTCCAAGCACAAAATTGGAGCAACTGTGATCATCAGAGAGAGAGAGCCCATTGCGGGATATTGCCCTGTATACAACATATTACTAATTAATAGGGGACCCATTTGAGCTACTCAGGCCCTACACGGTTGCTAAGCCTGCTTATGCCTAGCGCCACCTCTGGTGATTATACAGGTAAATTGGGTGACTGCAAACTGGGCATGCATTTGTCCACCTAACTTGTTGGACACTCAGCTTCTTTTAGTTTAGAATCTACAGTGTGTCTCGCCTTCAGAAAATGTCTCCTCCAATAATAACATAACATGTCCTGCAGCTCCATGGGTCACAGCATTTCTCCTGCAAAGATGTCTTCTGTTTGTCTGAAAATCCTCTGTGGGGTGGAAAACGTCCACCTGGGTGTCCAAAGAACCGGGTTCTACCATGTTCTCTTACTATTCAATATGTCACCACATCTTTGCCATCTGCAGTGCACATCGCTGCATCAATTAGCTGCATTTTGGATGTTCCTCATGGCCATTGTGTCCTATTTTTGTCTTCTTAACTTTCAAGGATGAGAAATGCGGGGAGGGGGTTTGCAGGAACAGATGGAAATACTTCATTCAGCCATCTGAGGTTAGAACCTCGGTTTCTTACGGGAACTGCATGCATCACCTCCCCTTGACTGATAGTTGGTTTTGACAGCCAGTCTTTCACAGCAGGTGCCAGTGCAGCTCCCTTACAAGATCTGAAGTGCTTTATTATTTGGTGACCTTTCAGGCATGCTGCAAAAGTCATTTAATGGGCTTGGGGGAAGGTGGAAATATGGTCCTGCCGGTCAAAGAGGTCGTTTTGCTGCTAGGATTTCTTGGCTAGCCAAGTTTAACTATTTGCGCAGGATTGTCTTTTGCTACTGGACAGTGGCTCTTTGATCATAAACCTAATTAACTGCCAGATCCCTTAGAGCTTTTTTATGGGTGGGATTTTATTGTCATTCGAAGCTTAAGAAAGCATCACTGGGCAATAAAGGTTATGGCTGTGGACAAAGACTGGGTTGGGTTAATTAAGGTGACCTTGCACCACCAAGAAAACAAGGATGGAAGAAGACACAGCAGGTTGGCATGGTTGTGCGCCTCACTAGTGCTATCTGGGGAGCAGATAGCAGGGGAAAGGAAGCTAGTCAAAGATGTCTAAAGAGAGGAGCGGGGGGAGAGACGTGAATGGGCCAGAGGAGAGCTGGTATTCTTAGACTGGGAGTTCTTTGGGGCAGAGACTTTCTTTTTTGTTGTGTGCATGGACAGTGGCTAGCACCAGGAGGCGGGGAGAATAATCCATGAACTGTGGGTCAGAAGAACATCATGACCAGTGTCATAGAAATGGAGGGCTTGAAAGGTCCCTTTCATCCTCTGCATTGCGACTGAACCAAATATCCGTGTTCTAAAAGCTTCCAGTGCGCGTCTCATTGCCACAGTACCTGAACATCTCACCGCCTTCAGCACAGCGAGCCACCACCTGGGAGGCAGAGCCGTGCTGTTACCCCCCTGAACAGGCACAAAGGGGTTGCTACATGGCAGCATGTCGGGTGCTTCCCAGCCTGGGAGAACAGACGCTAGGATGCTCAAAATAGCTGTTTCTGCCGTGGCTCAGGCTAACCCCCTGAGTAGGTACTGAGTCCATGTTCCTTCTCGGTGGTTATTTTTGTCCTTAATTTAAAAGGAATAAGAGTGTGGCTCTTCGGCTTGGAAGCATTCTCCTTGCATTGCCTCTGCCCTTCAGAAAAGGAAAGAGGCCAGCTGGCTCTAGCCACCCATCTGTCCCGCGTTTGTAGCCTGTGATTAGTCCCTCGAAACACTTGGCTAACTCGGTTAAAAATCAGTTCACAGTGGCCGCCTTTGGCAGTCTGCTCTAGCCAGTCCATCCCACCGGGGATGCGTGTGCACCCATGGCAAAGAGCACCCCATAAGCAGCCTGCATGCTGTGTCCCAATAGGGAGAGCAACCTGCCTCCAGTAGGGATGTCAAGGGTTAACCGGTTATCTAGTCAGCATGAGTTT